AGCCAGGAGACTTGCTCTGTATTCAATAAGACCTCCTCCAGATCCATACAAATCAATAAGTCCAGGGAATGGGCCAGGTCCTGCAATGAAAGGAGTGTATACATAACCAAAAGAAAAGTTCCTAAAGGGTGTCGTTTTGTGGTGCCTCAGCACACATCAGGACAGTAGATATCGGAAGAAAATCATCCTCTGAAGCTTTCCATGGTGGGTATCATTCTCAGGAACACACAAAATGACTGTAAAGACATGAATTTGTACTTTTTTTTTTTTTTTCCTCTTATGAACTCTTTATAGGAGTTCATAAGAGAACTCCTATAAATAGGTTCACATGTTGGATATCCTTCTCTCAACCTGAATTTCAGCTGGCATTGGCCTACAAGTCCTCAGGCCATTGAGGATCAATGAAGAAACAGTAATGGCTCTTCGTTAGGAACTGTGCTAGCAGGTATGCCACGGAGGGGATACTTGGGTTATGAAAGATACTCACAAGTGCCAGAACTGACCTGTGCCAATTCAGACTTCAGTGAGATGTGAGTAACTACCCCTGAGCTCCTCAGCTCTCCTACAGCAATAGGACCTTCCTTTCCTGATGCTGGTCTGCCCGTTCTCATAGCCAGATTTCCCTTACAAGATGTAGCGTCACTGCAGCTACAAGGGACTCATTGTTAATTACAGAGCAAGATAGTCATGTTTAAGTGCCATTCAAGGAACACAAACACTTCAGGCTTAAAGCACCTTTGCACAGGATCCATTCTCAGCACTGTCTGTGTGCAGAGTTGTAAAATATGTCACTTGTTTAATTAAAGATCTTGCTTTTCCCATTTGTCTCCCATCTCCCTAAGTATCCCATGCAGTCCAGCTGCTCAGTCAGGAAGAGACTTCTTTCTTTGGCTTTTCCTTAGCTAAAGAGAGACACGGAGAGACAAGTCCAGAACTTGCAGGAAGATCTGTAGCAGCTGCTGAGGGTATGGTTCTTCAGCCTAGGTTGGCTGCAGCCTGAGACCAGTGCTCCCACCATGCCTTGTCATTCCTCACACCACGGCCAGAGCTGTCATGCATCACAGCTCTGCCAAGGAGCAGGGGCCCCTTTGTCCTGTCAGCAAAACAGAAAAGCTAAGAAATAAACACACTTTTTGACGAAGTTCTCACTGCAGGAGAGGTCAAGACACTCAACTAGAACAACCATGAGACACCCTGTGCTAGCAGTGCTGACCTCCCTGCACCACCATGCCCCTGCCTTGGCCGTTGCCCTGCCCAGGCAACACCTGCTCCTCTTTGTCCTGCTGCAATGATCCAGGTACCTGGACCAGGCACAGGCTAAGGGAAGCGGCAGCTGAAGTTCTGCTTTGTTGAGTGCATTCAGGGGCCACGGGGCATAATACGTGGTGTCAGTCATACCTGGAAAACCAGAATGGAATTAAAACTCACCAGGAGGGAGGAAGAGGGTTGCTCTGAGACGACCTTCTCTGACCGAAATCCTCTTCACCCCCTCTCCTAAAAACCACCGTTCATTGGTGCATTTTCCCAGTAAGCGGCTCATGTCCCCATGGCCCTCATACACTTCCAAGTCCACACAGAAAGGGGTCAGGACGTTCCTCTTTGCCAGCCGCTTATAGGGCGTTTTGGACTGCAGAGCCCAGAGCAGCCCCATCGGCTCCACTCCCAAATAGCTGCCCCCCAGCGCTGGGGAGCGGCTGAGGTCCAGCTCCCCGCTGCTCCCAGCCCTGTAGAGAGCGTGGGCTTGGAAAAGCTCCCCGCTCTCGTCCACCAGGCTGGCTCGGAGGGTGACCGCCTGCTGCGGCTGCAGACCAGCCACACGGATCTGCACAGGGTCATCGAACAGGCACCTGGGGGAGGGCAGCACTGCTAGCACAGGGTGTCTCATGGTTGTTCTAGTTGAGTGTC